TATAGTCGGACTTGAGTCCTGGAAATGGGAAGTACAATGCCTGCACTTTAAAGGAGGGGTTTGGGATATTGGCAGTTTGGAGGGATATGTTGTGTATCTTTTTATGTGTATGCTTCTAAACTGTTGTATTCTGAGCACCTCTGCAAAAACAGTGATAATGTGTGAATGTGGTGAAAGTGTTGAATGATGATGAAAGTACTTTCTTTTTGGAGATTTTCTTTCTTTTCTGGGTCACCCTGCCTCGGTGGGAGACAGCCGACTTGTTGAAAAAAAAAAAGTATATTAACGTAATATACGACATTTAATGAGACTCAATGATTATTATCATTACTAATATGACGTCTCGAGACATAAAACACTCCTACTGATTTTAATATGTACCTGCATGCCAGCACAGTATGTAAGTTTATTTAGGTACAGATAATTATCAGAGTATATATAAAATATGAAATAACTTTTAAAAACACTTGAAATTTTGTCGTTTCCAGACATAATGGATAGACTTAGTGCTTGTATCTCACAGAGAATGTAAACAAACCGGGTGGGGCGCGGTGACCGTATTAGAAAGTCAGGTGGGGGGAGCCATACAGCAAGTTTTGGTCATAATTTGAAATGACCGTATTAGCGGAACGTCATAAAGCGAAACGCCGTAAAGTGGAGCCCTAATGTATATCTCTCCACTGAAACTCGCCTACCCCCTTCAGCTTTGTTTCACTTAGAGCCAGAACATCCAACTTCTTTTCATTCATAACATCATCAATAATCTCTTTATCATCATCTGTACTACATCCACGCACATTTCAAGCATCCCAGTTTTATTGTGCCTACTATATATACAGAACATTAAACTCCAATATCAACCCTCCACTCAAACTTCTCCTAGACAGCTTCAACAGAACACACAGGCATAACACGAGCCACAGAACACTTTTTGACATTCATGGTATCCGTCTCACACTATGCAAAAATGCAAAGGCACATAAGGCCCAAAGATCTGGAACTCTCTGCCTGACACCAAGAGGTCCCCTGCCCACTAATCAATTTAGGACCATACTCAAAAATCATCTTGTCTCTCAATAATAACCATACACACATTATGCTAAACTCTAACCAAATTTAAAGCAACTCTCCCAAAATATTTTATTATCTCTAAACTATTAAGCCACTATTAGAAACTTAAAAATGTATGGTTGTATCATTAATTATACTACATATTAACCCGTAAACGGTCCAAACGTATATATACGTTTTTTCAACATTTGAATGTAAAAAAAGTAGATTTTTTTTTTTTGCATTTGAAAATGTGTAAAAAAACTTTGATCTACTTTTTTTTTGTTATATTTGAAAATATGTAAAAAAAACGTAGATCTACTTTTGTAGCACTACACATGTGAACGTAGATCTGCTTGGACCGTTTATGGGTTAACAATAGCGTAAAATATTCAATATATGTAATCTACCAATCTTCACCTGTCTAGACTTAATTAAGTGGTCTTTAACCCTTAAACGGTCCAAATGTATATATACGTTCACTCGCGTAGCGCCCCAAACGTATATATGTTTTATTTTTCCTGCCTCCGTATTTGGCACGATTGGCCTGAGATGCCTGGTCAGCACAGAATTGGTCTTAACACTCAATGTGCGCAGTATTAAAAAAATCTGGGACCACTTAGTACCTTGTGGGAGCGCCAGTTAAATTGAGCTCCAGCTAGAGCAAACAGCGCAGCAAACACCGAGGATTCACTGATGTAATGTCATATTAACACTTCTCTCTTAGGAGGAAAGTGATGTTAACCCCAAGTTTAGGGACTGTATCTCTGTCTCTGTCTATCTGTCTCTGTCTATCTGTCTCTGTCTATCTGTCTCTGTCTATCTGTCTCTGTCTAGCTGTCTCTGTCTAGCTGTCTCTGTCTAGCTGTCTCTGTCTAGCTGTCTCCGTCTAGCTGTCTCCGTCTAGCTGTCTCCGTCTAGCTGTCTCCGTCTAGCTGTCTCCGTCTAGCTGTCTCCGTCTAGCTGTCTCCGTCTAGCTGTCTCCGTCTAGCTGTCTCCGTCTAGCTGTCTCCGTCTAGCTGTCTCCGTCTAGCTGTCTCCGTCTAGCTGTCTCCGTCTAGCTGTCTCCGTCTAGCTGTCTCCGTCTAGCTGTCTCCGTCTAGCTGTCTCCGTCTAGCTGTCTCCGTCTAGCTGTCTCCGTCTAGCTGTCCTCCGTCTAGCTGTCTCCGTCTAGCTGTCTCCGTTCTAGCTGTCTCCGTCTAGCTGTCTCCGTCTAGCTGTCTCCGTCTAGCTGTCTCCGTCTAGCTGTCTCCGTCTAGCTGTCTCCGTCTAGCTGTCTCCGTCTAGCTGTCTCCGTCTAGCTGTCTCCGTCTAGCTGTCTCCGTCTAGCTGTCTCCGTCTAGCTGTCTCCGTCTAGCTGTCTCCGTCTAGCTGTCTCCGTCTAGCTGTCTCCGTCTAGCTGTCTCCGTCTAGCTGTCTCCGTCTAGCTGTCTCCGTCTAGCTGTCTCCGTCTAGCTGTCTCCGTCTAGCTGTCTCCGTCTAGCTGTCTCCGTCTAGCTGTCTCCGTCTAGCTGTCTCCGTCTAGCTGTCTCCGTCTAGCTGTCTCCGTCTAGCTGTCTCCGTCTAGCTGTCTCCGTCTAGCTGTCTCCGTCTAGCTGTCTCCGTCTAGCTATCTCCGTCTAGCTATCTCCGTCTAGCTATCTCCGTCTAGCTGTGTCTGTGTCTCTGGCTTTGTCTGTATCTGTCTCTCTCTTTCAATCTGTCTTTGTCTATCTGTCTCACAGGTACACATAAATACAAGTATACATACTATAAATTACCTAGGATAACCCAAAAATCCAGACAAAGTGCTATACTCTGCTTGAAGATGTGAGTAAAAGTGATGACACAGTCTTGTGGCTCTCTCTGAGACAGAGAGCTAGACAGATAGACAGGGAGCTTGACAGACAGACAAATAGACAGACAGAAATGTTTGTGTACCAACAAAAACAAAGGAGGGGGATGGTCATCTAATCTTTTCTTATCAGCTGCACCCTTCCCCACCCTCCTGTATCAGCTCATCAAACGTCAGCTCTTATCAGATGTTATCTCATATTATTATGTCACTGTCAGGGTGGACTTTGTTTTTCATGCTTCAAGCCAACTTATATATTATTATCATCCTCATCATCCTCCTCATCCTCCTTCTCCTCCTCCTTCTCCTCCTTCTCCTTCTCCTCCTCCTCCTTCTCCTCCTCCTCCTATCTCCTCCTCCTCCTCCTCCTCTCTCCTCCTCCTCCTTCTCCTTTCCTCCTTCTCCTCCTCCTCCTCCTCCTTCTCCTCCTCCTCCTCCTCCTTCTCCTCCTCCTTCTCCTCCTCCTCCTTCTCCTCCTCCTTCTTCTCCTCCTCCTCCTCCTCCTTCTCCTCCTCCTCCTTCTCCTTCTCCTCCCTCCTTCTCCTCCTCCTCCTCCTTCTCCTCCTGCTCCTCCTTCTCCTCCTCCTTCTCCTCCTCCTTCTCCTTCTCCTCCTCCTCCTCCTCCTTCTCCTCCTCCTCCTTCTCCTCCTCCTCCTCCTCCTTCTCCTCCTCCTTCTCCTCCTCCTCCTTCTCCTCCTCCTCCTCCTCCTCCTTTCTCCTCCTCCTCCTCCTCCTCCTCCTTCTCTGCCTCCTCCTCCTCCTTCCTCCTCCTCCTCCTTCTCCTCCTCCTCCTTCTCCTCCTCCTCCTCCTCCTCCTTCTCCTCCTCCTCCTCCTTCTCCTCCTCCTTCTCCTCCTCCTCCTCCTCCTTCTCCTCCTCCTCCTTCTCCTCCTCCCTCCTCCTTCTCCTCCTCCTCTGCCTCCTCCTCCTCCTTCTCTCCTCCTCCTCCTCCTCCTCCTCCTCCTCCTTCTCCTCCTCCTTCTCCTCCTTCTCCTCCTCCTTCTCCTCCTCCTTCTCCTCCTTCTCCTCCTCCTCCTTCTCCTCCTCCTTCTCCTCCTCCTCCTTCTCTCTCCTTCTCCTCCTCTCCTTCTCCTCCTCCTCCTCCCTCCTTCTCCTCCTCCTCCTTCTCCTCCTCCTTCTCCTCCTCCTCCTTCTCCTCCTCCTTCTCCTCCTCCTCCTTCTCCTCCTCCTCCTCCTTCTCCTCCTCCTCCTCCTCTGCCTCCTCCTCCTCCTCTCTCTCCTCCTCCTCCTCCTCCTCCTCCTCCTCCTTCTCCTCCTCCTTCTCCTCCTCCTCCTCCTCCTTCTCCTCCTCCTTCTCCTCCTCCTTCTCCTCCTCCTTCTCCTCCTCCTTCTCCTCCTCCTTCTCCTCCTCCTTCTCCTCCTTCTCCTCCTCCTCCTCCTCCTCCTTCTCCTCCTCCTTCTCCTCCTTCTCCTCCTCCTTCTTCTCCTCCTCCAAAACATTGCTGGGACATATAAATACTTTGTATATATTCCAAGACAATAGTATATGGCCAAGGCAGGTGTAAATGTCCACCTGTCAGTGTGTTTGTGACAATGTGAGTACAATTTCAGTACCTAATACTACTGTCAGAACAAAGATTGGTTATAAAATGACAAGAACTACTATAAATTATAATTAACAGAACATAAAAATTACATAAAATATGAAAATAGAAAAAAAGGTATATTGGTAACACTTCTGCAAGAGGCAGGACTCCATGTTGCCGTCACATGAGCATCCAGTGCCAACTTCTCGGCCTCATATCTCCATAAGTACTGACCCTAAAAAATTTTTTCTTTATTCTAAAATACTTAAAAAAAAGTGCTCTTTTTTTTCTATAATTTTTTTTTTTTCAAAATATTTAAGGCGCTGCACGAGTGAACGTATATATACGTTTGGACCGTTTAAGGGTTAAGTATTAGGTTAAGTCTGCCTGAAATGCCTCGGCATAATAGTAGCAAGACAGTGTTAATGGTGCGACAAAGCCACATTATGATAGGAAGATGAAGGAAACAACCAAGACTGTTAATTCTGGGACACAATCACTTCTTAAGTGTATAAACAAAAGATTAATACATACATGCATTATTAAAACAAACAAAAATGTAATCTTTACTTGTAGTCGAAATGGCATGTCTGGGATGATCCACTTGATAAACATGATGATAACACACACCACATTCTGAAAAATAATTTTCATTAGCATTACAAGTTCATAAACAAAATGTATTGTAATGTTATAATAATAATTGGAACACATACACAAGTCTTCTTTCTTTCTTTCAACACACCGGCCGTATCCCACTGAGGCGGGGTGGCCCACTGAGGCGGGGTGGCCCACTGAGGCGGGGTGGCCCACTGAGGCGGGGTGGCCCAAAAGGAAAAATGAAAGGTTCTCCTTTTACATTTAGTAATATATACAGGAGAAGAGGTTACTAGCCCCTTGCTCCTGGCATTTTAGTCGCCTCTTACGACACGCATGGCTTACGAAGGAAGAATTCTGTTCCATTTCCCCATGGAGATAAGAGGAAATAAACAAGAACAAGAACTAGTAAGAAAAATGGAAGAAAACCCAGAGGGTGTATATATATGCTTGTACATGTGTAGTGTGACCTAAGTCTAAGTAGAAGTAGCAAGACGTACCTGAAACCTTGCATGTTTATGAGACAGGAAAATGGACACCAGCAATCCTACCATCATGTAAAACAATTACAGGTTTCCGTTTTACACTCACTTGGCAGGACGGTAGTACCTCCCTGGGCGGTTGCTGTCTACCAACTTACTACCTAGGACATACACAAGTAACTCACATGTAAGAGAGAAACTTACCATACCACAGGCGAGGTCAGAACCCATGATCAGTCTCTCAAAACTCCAGACCGACGCGTTAGCTAATGCGTCGGTCTGGAGTTTCATGACTTTGATCGCGGGTTCTAACCCCAACCGTGGTATGGTTTGTTTGCAATCATGTCATTATGATTTCATGAGTCAAGAGAAACTTATGACGATGTTTCAGTCCAACTTGGTGTGACTAGTTAATGATCTAAGTGGGACCAAAACATTATCATGAGTTCCAATGCATGGGTTACCTGTGAATAATAGTATACAATGGTATACATGTGCAACAGTTATGTGTCTTTACTGTTGAAACATTTCATCTATTCTATAGGCTTTTTAGAACATAAGAATGGAGGAACACTGCAGCAGGCCTACTGGGCAGTACTAGGTAACTTTTTTTTAATTAACACATTGGCCACTTCCCACCAAGGCAGGGTGACCCGAAAAAGAAAACCTTTCATCATCATTCACTCCACCACTGTCTTGCCCGAGGCGTGCTTACACTACAGTTATAAAACTGCAACATTAACATCCCTCCTTCAGAGTGCCGGCAAATCCTTCTCAAACCCAAAAACACTTAACAGAAACATTTGCCCAATCATAAGTCAACCCCAGGCATAAGATGGGGCCATGCTTTCTCTCCGATATGGTAAACAGATCATTGCCAAACCCATGGGATAAGGTAGTAATGTTCATCATGATGATGCCACCACCTTTGTCAGCAGTGGTGATTTTGATGTTAGTTTCTTCTGCTGGTGTGTTCAGGGCAGTGGACAATTATCTATGTGACTGTATTCACAAAATGGTCATACCAAAATACACACCACATCAACTGCCAACCTCAAATGGATTCAGATTTGTAACACACACACACACACACACACACACACACACACACACACAACACACACACACACACACACACACACGTACGTTTGGAATCCACATCTGGTCAAGCACGTCAAGAAATTAGAGAAAGTAAAAAGGTTTGCAACAAGACTAGTCCCAGAGCTAAGGGGACTGTCCTACGAAGAAAGGTAAGGGAAATCGGCCTGATGACACTGGAGGACAGGAGGGTCAGGGCAGACATGATAATGACATATAAAATGTTGCAAGGAATTGACAAGGTGGACCAAGATGGGACACAGAAACAAGGGGTCACAATTGGAAGTTAAAGACTCTGATGAGTCAAAGGGATGTTGGGAGTTTTCTTCAGTCAAAGAGTTGTCAGGAAGTGGAATAGCTAATAAGTGATGTAGTGGACGGCAGGAACCATACATAGTTTTAAGATGAGGTTTGATAAAGCTCATGGAGCAGGAAGAGAGAGGACTTAATAACAATCAGTAAAGAGGCGAGGCCAGAAGTTGTGACTCGACCCCTGCAACCCCAAATAGGTGAGAACACACATACACACAGGAGCTGTGACTCGACCCACGTGTGTACACTCGCCTATATGTAGTTGCTGGGGTTGATTCACAGCTCCTGGCCCTGCCTCTTTTCTCTCGTCTCTCGACCACAAAATGTGTCGATGACTTCAATATTGCTGCAAATGAAGCTTTCCTCTGAGCTCACATGGACAGAATGAGAGCAGAAATAATACACAACAGAATTATCATGGCCAACATTCGCCAATCAGGCTCACCAAGAAATTTCAAATTCTCTGCCAAAAAGTCAGTGGAAAAGTTTAGGGAGACCAGAAATTATAAATGCTTGTCATTTTGTTCAGTGACAAGCACAGAAACTTTAGCCTTCAGCTTAGATCTTAAATTGCTACAGGAATATCTAAAATACAAGTACTCCACTACATTGCTAAAAAGTCCAGACACCAAGACATTTCCAGTTTCTGATACAGCTTCGTCAAGGCCTCCTTACTGCAGCCCAACACAGCTCTCCAGTCCCACCTCATCAGTGCATCACTGCCTTTAAAACTCCACCAGAAGGCAAACATCAGAATCACCACCACCGACAACAGCAGTGGAGTCGTCATCATGGACATTATTTCCTGCAGATCTAAAATGCTTCATCTACTCAACGACCTGGACACCTAGGTGCCACTCACAGCAATACAAATGCATATTTTAACCAAAGTTTTCTTATGGCAAACTTGCCAGATCCTAAACAGCTCAGAACAAAGAAACTTCTACACACCATTCCCAGTAAACTCAGACCTGCCCAAACGTATTACAGGTCGGCCATCACTAATCCAACAATCAGTTATCCGGTTCCATCAGCAATCCGGCACTAATTTCGGCCAGCATAATTTCAAATTTCATCATTATACTGACTCAGAAATTGTGCAGACGGTTGTAAATCCACAGCAGCAAGCCAGTGGAGGAGAAAGCAGAGATGAAAATGAGGAAGATGTAGCAGTGTCTCTGTTGACAGGTTAATTAAGTGTATTCTAACCTAACCACTCTGTAATCTGCCAAACTCACTGATGCGACACACTACAGGTCCCAATGATGCCGGATTAGTGATGGTTGACCTGTACTGCCAAGACAAACTAGGAATTCCATTGTGACTCATCACATCTGCAAGAGGCAATGCCCTCCAAAAACTATTAGGAATTCTAGCCAAATACCTAGCAAAACTCCTATGCACCACCAGTCAACACATATTTAAAACATTCTGATGATCTCAACAGCACCTGAAAAAAAACTTCAGAAACAAGAAAAACTCCATCCCTATTTATTAAATATCAGCAGCAAAAGCCTTCAATCTCCAGCAACAAGCAACTGTTAACATCCTCGACCTTCCTGTTCCAGCCAGCACTTATGATCACACTGAACTATGTGTTGCTTTTAGCTATTTCTCATTTGAAAAATTCTTTCAACAGACTTTTGGTAAGAGAAGATTTTCCTCAGAATTTTTAACCCCGGAGGGTTAGCCACTGAAGATAACCCAAGAAAGGCAGTGCGTCATCGAAGGACTGTCTCTCATTTCCATTGGGGTTCTCAATCTTGTCCCCCAGGATGTGACTCACACCAGTCCACTAACACCCAGGATGTGACCCACACCAGTCCACTAACACCCAGGATGTGACCCACACTAGTCCACTAACACCCAGGATGTGACCCACACCAGTCCACTAACACCCAGGATGTGACCCACACCAGTCCACTAACACCCAGGATGTGACCCACACCAGTCCACTAACACCCAGGATGTGACCCACACCAGTCCAATGACACCCAGGATGTGACCCACACCAGTCCACTAACACCCAGGATGTGACCCACACCAGTCCAATGACACCCAGGATGTGACCCACACCAGTCCACTAACACCCAGGATGTGACCCACACCAGTCCAATGACACCCAAGATGTGACCCACAACAGTCCACTAACACCCAGGATGTGACCCCCACCAGTCCACTAACATCCAGGTACCTACTTGCTAGGTGAACAGGAAAACAGGTGTAAGGAAATGTATCAAATGTTTCCACCCAGCGGGAATCGAACCCGGACCCTCAGCACGTGAAGCGAGAGCTTTGCCAGCCAGGCCAAGGGGCCCCGTACCAATAAGTTCACCATTAACTCTGGGAGGGTCAAGACCTCCTATCTGAGACCTGTCCACAGGTCCAAAAATTAAAATAGTTATTTTTTCTTGTGAAGTGATAGAGAATTTTTTTCTGAAGTTAATAACACAGTACAGAATTTGATGAAAAACTGGCAAAATTACGCTATGGAAAATTTTGGTATGGCAGCGATATTTACACATCGGTGATTTTTGCCCACTTTGACTCCTATAAATAACAAAAAAAGGCACAATACCATGACTGGAACGATACATTTTTTTTTTTTTTTTTTTTTTTTTAACAAGTCGGCCGTCTCCCACCGAGGCAGGGTGACCCAAAAAAGAAAGAAAATCCCCAAAAAGAAAATACTTTCATCATCATTCAACACTTTCACCACACTCGTACATTATCACTGTTTTTGCAGAGGTGCTCAGAATACAACAGTCTAGAAGCATACACATATAAAGATACACAACATATCCCTCCAAACTGCCAATATCCCAAACCCCTCTTTTAAAGTGCAGGCATTGTACTTCCCATTTCCAGGACTCAAGTCCGACTATATGAAAATAACCGGTTTCCCTGAATCCCTTCACTAAATATTACCCTGCTCACACTCCAACAGATCGTCAGGTCCCAAGTACCATTCGTCTCCACTCACTCCTATCTAACACGCTCATGCACGCTTGCTGGAAGTCCAAGCCCCTTACCCACAAAACCTCCTTTACCCCCTCTCTCCAACCCTTTCGAGGACGACCCCTACCCCGCCTTCCTTCCCCTATAGATTTATATGCTTTCCATGTCATTCTACTTTGATCCATTCTC